CAACGGTTCTTGCATGAGGCCCATTGACTCAGTAAAGACTTATTGACTCAGTAAAGGTTTAATGACTCAGTACAGACTTATTGGCTTAATACAGGTAAATTAACTCAGTAATGATTTAATGACTCTGTTCAGATTTATTGACTCAGTACAGATTTATTGACTTGGTAAAGTTTTAATGACTTAGTACAGACTTATTGACTCAGTAATAATTAATAAGTATTTCTGATTTTAGGGCAGAACTGATCTTCTCTCCATGTTTCTATAAGATGAGTCAGGGTCCTAACATGGCAGGTCTGTTTCTGTGTTTTACAGAGAGGGTGGATCTGAAGAGTCATGATGAGTCAAACTGGGACTTTGTTGCTGTTTTCCACCCATCAGGTACTTTTCTTTTTGACCATCATCTCTGCTGAGTTTCCGTTTCCAGCCTCAGGAGGCTCRACTCTGCCTCTAAAGACCAACAGCACTGGCAGCAACCAGACTCAGTGYGGTGGCAGTACCGACTGCATCGAAGGCGTCATCCTGCCCGTGTGGAAGCCTTTAAACCCGACCTTCACAGACCGCCTGGCCAGAGCCACCATCTACTTTGTGGGAATGGCCTACATGTTCCTAGGTGTCTCCATCATCGCTGATCGTTTCATGGCATCCATCGAAGTGATCACCTCCCAGGAGAGAAAGATCACCATAAAGAAACCAAATGGTGAAAAAGTCACCACGACTGTTCGGGTTTGGAATGAGACCGTGTCCAACCTGACCCTGATGGCGCTGGGCTCGTCTGCTCCAGAGATCCTCCTGTCGGTGGTGGAGGTCTGTGGTCACAACTTTAACGCCGGTGAGCTGGGTCCCAACACCATTGTAGGAAGCGCTGCCTTCAACATGTTCGTCATCATCGGCCTGTGTGTCTCCGTCATCCCCGATGGAGAGACTAGGAAGGTCAAACATCTGCGGGTGTTCTTTGTCACCGCCACCTGGAGTGTGTTTGCTTACACCTGGCTCTACCTGATCCTGGCCGTCTTTTCTCCAGGGGTTGTGGAGATATGGGAGGGGCTTCTCACTCTCTTCTTCTTCCCCATTTGTGTTGGGTTGGCTTACGTGGCTGACCGCAGACTTCTCTTCTACAAATACGTCTACAAACGATACCGAGCTGGGAAGCAGAAAGGAATGATTATAGAGACTGAAGGAGAGCCCRAGCTGTCGCCCAAGGTCAACGTGGAAATGGGAGGAAAAGTCTTCAACCTTCACGGTGAAGAAGTGTTGGACGGAGAGACCAGGTCTGAGGAGGAGGACGCCTGCAGGGAGATGGCCAGGATCCTGAAGGAGCTGAAACAGAAACATCCAGAGAAGGAGATGGAGCAGCTGATGGAGCTCGCTAATTATCACGTTTTAAACCAGCAGCAGAAGAGTAGGGCCTTCTACCGCTGCCAGACCACCAGGATCCTGACCGGAGCRGGCAATGTTCTGAAGAAACATGCTGCTGACCAGGCTAAGAGAACCGCCCAGCACGACATCTGGTCCGAGGTGTCGGTGGACAGCTTCTCCTCCAAGGTCTTCTTTGATCCGGGATCCTACCAATGTCTGGAGAACTGTGGCAGTGTGGCCCTTAACGTGGTCCGGAGAGGTGGCAATCTAACCACCACGGTCTCCGTCAAGTACCGGACTGAGGATGGGACGGCCAACGCCGGCTCAGACTACCAGTTTATCGAGGGGACGGTCGTCTTCAAACCAGGCGAGACGGAGAAGGAGATCCATGTCGATATCATCGATGATGACATCTTTGAAGAGGAYGAGCACTTCCTGGTTCATCTCAGCGACGTGACGGTCCAATCAGATGAGGCGATGAGTCACCAGACCAACCACGTCGACGGTGGGGTGGGTTTAGGGTTGCCGTGCACGGCCACTGTCACCATCTTCGACGATGACCACGCTGGGATCTTCACCTTTGAGGAGCCCCTGGTGACTGTAAGCGAGAGCATCGGGGTGATGGAGGTAAAGGTGGTGAGGAACTCAGGAGCGCGCGGCGTCGTGATGGTCCCRTACAAAACCATTGAGGGGACGGCAAAGGGAGGGGGCGAGGACTTCGAAGATGCCTACGGAGTTCTGGAGTTTGACAACGACGAGATCTTGTGAGTAAAACCAGCTTTTACCAGTTTACTGAGTTTACTGAGAGACAGTAACCATGAGGTCATCAGACAGAGGTTCTGGTTCTAGTTCTGTTCTGTTCATACCCGAGAGGTTAGGTTAGGTTAGGTTAGGTTAGGTTAGGTTAGGTTAGGTTAGGTTAGGTTAGTGTTAGGTTAGGCTAACCCGAATCATTGCATCATCAACAGGCTCAATAAACTAATTGTAAATCACAGATAGGGACAGAGAGAACAGGCACAGGGAGAGCAGGGAGGACTCAGGCGGACAGAACAACACATGATCATCATTCCTGAGAATCCAGAACTAGGACYGTTTTGGATCCAAACAGATCTGTTCTGTGTTTCAGAACCAATTTGTTTGTCAGAATGAACTCAACTGGGTCTGTCCCACATCAGGACGACATACCTCCTGCTGGTTCTGATCAGCCAGGTCTAAACAGAAGCTGGTTCTCATCTTTGATTCATGGAGACATGACCCATAAGTATTCACCCCCTTTGGTCCATCGGGTCTCTTTGGGTCCATCTCTATGATCTTGGTCCATCTAAACTAGACCTGTAGTCCGTTTTTCATGTCCAAATGTCTTCAGGTCCTTCAGGTCTAAACGTCTTCAGGCCTTTCAGGTCCAACTGTCTTCAGGTTCTTCAGGTCCAACCGTCTTCAGGTCCTTCAGGTCCAAACGTCTTTAGGTCCGTCAGGTTGGTCCTGTTTGAGTCCAACTGTTGTTAAATCAACCAGATCCTTGTGGTCCTGTGGACAGATCCGACACCTTCCAGCCTCATCAGGGACAGCTTTGTCCTCCTAGATGTTTCTCAGATTAATGTCCTCCTGACCTGCTTCCTGAGTTTTGGTGGACAACCTTCTCTTGGCAGGTTTGCTGTGGTGACATCATCTTTCCACTTCCTGATAAGGGTTCTGATGGAATTCTGTGGAACCTTCAGAACCTTAGGGTTCCAGAAGAGTTTTTATAAATGTCTCCACAACTTTGTCTCAGGCCTACACAGAGAAGACCTTGGTCTTCATGATGTCTCGTGCTTAATGGTAAACCTTTGTACATTGAGGTGTTGGACAGGTGGCACATGGTGGTCCCCTCAGGTGTTGGTGTGGTTCTGTCAGCAGACCGGAGAACCTTGGAGAACCATCAGCCTCTATCATCAGCTCGGCTGATGGTTCTGTTCTGATAAAGTTCTTCAAGGTTCTGTTGGGTTTCAGTGCACCTCTGAAAGTGGGTCTCAGAGGAGGTTCTGCTGGTCCAGACTCATGTTGCTCCTGCTGAGATAAACACTTTAAAGCTCTCTTCCTTATTAGGCCGGTGGACGGAGCAGTGCCGAGTTGCAGCCTTGGCCCGTAAAGCAGGCGGATGACTGCAGCCGGTTTCCGTCAGAACCAACAACTGGGGAGGTCGGTGCTGGCCCGGAGCCACGTGTCCAGCCTCCACTCAAAACCGAGCATGTAAACCTGCAGAGATGATAACCAGACCAGACTGTTTTCATGTTTTATTRATAATTCTTAGTAAAATCAGCTCCAGGAGGTTTACTGATGTTTACATGTTGGAGACCAGAGTGTCAGAATCTGAAKCTTTATTACAGGTTTGATCAGTTATTTTCATCTACAAGTATGAAATATATTTAGAGTTTAAAATATAACAAGAGGTCCTCTGAGGGGACCAGATTGTCACATCGCTGCAGGAAACAGATCAAACCTGTCAAAAACCCAAAGCAACAATCTGCTGCCTTAAAGAAACATGAGGAGAGAGAGAGAGAGAGAGAGAGAGAGAGAGAGAGAGAGAG